TCTCCATGAGAAACAGGCTTCTAGAGCCCTGAAAATGTATATCGTGTGTCTCATTTGTGAAATGCTTCCTGCTATAGAACTAGCTCAAAAGACTGTACATATTTACAAGAAACTTTATATTCGTAACAAAAAAAAAAAAGGAAATTGAATTGGTTTCTACTTTTTTATTGTAAAAGGTGCATTTTTCAACACTTACTTTTGGTTTCAATGGTGGTGGTTGTGGACAGCCATCTTCATTGGAGGGTGGGGAGCTCCGTGTGACCACCAAGATGCCAGCAGGAGATACTGAAACATGAAATCGCAGTCAAAAGCTTATTAGCATAAATAAGATTCTAGGTCTCCAAAAGTGCAGGCTTTTTCTTCATTACCTTTTTTATTCAGAATGAGGAAAAGAACACAGGGAGCAATTCAAGATCCACCTTGAGAGAAATGGACTTTGCTGTTGAACAATAGTGAAATAAAGCAATGATTTAAAACGTTTGCTTTAGTGCAACGACCTCTTCTTTTCTCGAGAGAGACCATAAAAATCTTAAGCGTGGCCCGTGTCAGGCTTCTTATCCCGGCACGGGACCTCCCTTCTTTTACACGGAGGCTTTCCTCTGGGGCGGTGGGAGCCCCACAGGGGTCAGAACACGCTGCTGTCCAGGAATCGATAGACTGCCTACATTCTCTTCCAGAAGTGCGACACTGTCGAAGTTTGGTCATTACTTCCAATGAACCATGAAGTGGTTATTAAGGTCACTTCACAGGACAGAGAGCAAGAAAGCTCCTTAGGTAGTCAGTCAGGCCCTGTTGAAAGGATTTCTCAAGAATGGATTACCTAGAAGGCAGCTAGCTACTCAGGAAAACAGGTCACCTTAAAATGTCATTACCATAAGGCCACAGGGAATTTAATGACGTAGATTACATGGAGGCAGGAGTTCAGATCAAGGTGATTTAAAATGTAAATACTTATATTTTTAACTAGATGAGTTTTTACAGTCTGCAAGGTCAATTTTTTCTATTTTTTTAGTTTGTCGGTAAAATTTTGCTCGATCCAGGCAAAATCTTCAGTTTTGGCAAGCCGTGATTTTTCTCATGCTTCCTGTCGCTTTTGATCTTTGATTTTTATTTTCCAGGGAGTAATCTGACCACAGTCAAAATCTGACTTGTGGTATAGTATCCGACATAGCTTGTGTCAGACAGGAACTGTTGCCATTCTGTTCCTCTTCTTTATTTTACTGTTGGGGATACAAATCTGCCAAAATCATAGCTGTTAAGAGTGGAAATAATTCAGAAGATGAGCTAGTAAACTGTTGGAACCTTCCTTATATTAGTAGAAAAAGTCCATTAAATACCAACCAACCATTATTGTCTTGAGGATTCTTGTCAGCCACAGAATACTTCAAACGCGTAAGTAAACACGGTTCATTCCAAAAGGAATGTACCAGAAAGGATCTTTGGACCCTAAGGAATGACCTCAAAGAAACAACTGACAAATTAGTCACATCACAAAATGAGGCCTAGCCTTCCATGCTACTCTTCCTGTGTCTTTAAGCAAAAATTAGATGTCATGTTTCTGCTCTTACAATTTAATTTTGATAAGACTAAAGGGGCTGACTGCATAGCAAATTTCATAACTATGAAACTTCAGGATTTGGAGACTTAGGCCAGAAAGAGATGATTTACTTAACAGGACTGAATAACCGGCTTGTCTTCAAAAATGGGTCTCTTGAATATGATTTGCTTTAGAAAACATTCATGCAGATTTAAGTCTAAAGCTAGGCCCAGAGGGGTAGTACCAGCTAAGCTCTCAGTCTCATAATACAGCAGTTTAATTGGCCTATTCCAGTGGTTCTAAACCAGGGGAGACTTTGCTCTTCTCCCCCGAGGACAAATAATGTCTGGAGACATCTTTGGTTGCTACAACTAGGGTGTACTATTGGCACCTAGTGGGTAGGGGCCAGGGATGTGTCCTACGTGTCCTACGACTGCCTAGGACAGCTCCCACCCACCACAAAGAGTTATCAGGCCCCAAGTGTCAGTACTGCCAAGGTTGAGAAATCTGGGCCTGTTCTGGTCAGATTTCTTTCATGGCAGTTTAAATATTGCTTATGATGTCTAAAGCATGGCAACTGTGACTCTAGGCATGCAGTGTTTATCAGAGAAAAATGGTTTATCATCTGCCTCATCAAATGTTGAAGCTTTTATTTTCCTGACGCTGGGAGGGTGGAAATATAGTACAGCGTTGATCGCTTCATTTTCCCTTGAGTCTATCAATGATTAATGGAACTATTTGTCTCAAAGGGATTGTTACGGGTAGAGGAAAAAACCTTGAAAGTGACTTTGCTACTATATACAAGTCAGGCTGCCTTTCAGAGAACCACAGAGGGAAAATAAGTTGACCCAGGGTATACATAGCCGGAACTCTCTCTCATTCTCACTTGCTGTTGAGTTTTCCAGATGTGATGGATGAATTCACTCCAGGTGTGGCAGAAATGGCAGCAGGAAGGGCTGGCATCATCGTCCAGGCTAAGGCCCTTTGGCTGTGTTTAGGACGAAAAAGATGAGGTAGTCGTGGGAGATGACCCTGCTGGCAGGGCCCAGCGGTTTATCTGAAGGACAGGGCCGGCCTCAGAAACTGTTCCAGCTTGCATGCTCCTCTCCACGGGTCTGGCTCACAGCAGTGCCCACTCTTAGGAGTGCTCTGGTGGGTGTTTTTACACTTAGCTGGGATGACCTGGGTTTTAGAAGAAATGCATGTTTCTAACTTGTTTTTTCCTGAAGACAATTACAATTGGCGTTCTAGGGCAGAAGGCTCTAGTTTCTTTTCTCCACTGATTTGCTGATCAAGAGAGATGCTAAGGAGAGACTGTTTAGGGGCTGGATAGAGATTTGAGTGGTCCACAGATTTTGGTCTTCATGAATTCAAACTTTGTAAACACTGGTGGAGGGTCAGGTGTCAGGAGAACAGAGTGTGTGCTCTAAATGAAATCATGCTCGTCTGCAAGTAACTGAGCTAAACAAAAATGAAATTTTGCTTTTCTCTAAAATGGTGGCGTCTCTGACCTCAGCTGTGGGTGGTATCACTTTGATGTTCTGGGTTTCAGGTGTGGCCTTTGGAGGTTTGTTAATTGAGCTTGAGGTGCTGGCACTTTTTCTCCTCTGACCCCTTGATTTCTTGTTTGTGGCCACATCCCGTTCATGTTGTAAAGGCTTTGGGGCTCCCCATGTGAAATGAAATGAGCCTTTGGACCATCTAGTGCTAGTCCAATCCCTCTCATTTTCTCATGGGAAGAAATCAGACTGAGAAGTCATGTGATTTGCCCAAAGTCACCTAGCTAGTCAGCGACTGAACTAAATTGACATCCCTAATCTATCTCAGCCCAGTGTGTACACTCTGGCAGGGGACGCTGGGAGAATGACAGATTCCGATGCGATGCCAGGCTTTGGCCTGGTCTCAGAGCACTATTGATTTTCCTGTTACATCCCTAAGAAGTGGAGCCAGAGGGACGGAAATGGCCTTGCCTGGCTCCTTGGACCTTTGGTTTCAGTATGATGATGTGTGTGGTTCTCTTTTCCCTTCAGTACCATTTTCACAAATTCGTAAAGGCCTTACCTTTGTTTCCATAAATATATTTGTATATATATTTCCGGAGGAAAAAAATAAGTCTTCTTTCAAAAGCAATTTGAGTTAAGCTTTAACCAACCATGTAACCAGTCCTCACTCATAATGGGAATGCTAATACAGAAAGTGTTACCTGCCGACACATCCCCCAGTTTCCATCGCATCGGCCTGCGCCCCTCTACCACTGCAGTCACCTCACTGGGTCCCCCCTGGCTCCTGGGCTGCAGAGGACTCTTACCGGGTTCATTGGCTCCAAATGAGTTTTTACATTGGATTTTCACTTCAGCTTCTTCCGAACTTTGTGGGTAGAGCCAATTCACAGGCTGGATTTTCCAACTTCCTGCTGTTCCCCCTTGCAGCCTGGGGCTCCCGGCTCCCTCTGAGCCCTGTCTCTAATTCAGGTTGCACAGAGGCAGTGCTGTTCTGGGCCAGCTCATGCGGGGGGTCTCCCCACCCAGTGTGGGTATCAGACCCCAGCCCTGGGGGCCCATTGCTGGGTCCTGGCCCCACCTCTCGTCCCTGAGTCCCCACTATAGGCCGAGGGTCTGTGCTCACAGCTCACCCACATGGCCATGGTTTCTTCATTTCCAGTGCTCAAATATACCCCTTTACACTTTTTAAGCTTGGCTACATATTTCCAATTGTATTTAAAAAATATTTTATCTTGTTCTGGAACAGAGTATTTTTGTGAGTTTCCTTTTATTTATTTGCGTAATCTCTACAGTTCCTTAAATCTAGAGTTCCCACACCACTAAGAGTTTTTAGGGTGAAAGGGTTAATTACCCCACCAAGAATGCTAAGTTACTCTCCATGTCAAGTGGACCAGATGACCCAGGGGTCCCCTTTACTCCCAAATTTTCGTTTAAATGTTTCCTGATGCCTGGGAAGAAAAGGCTTATGAAAGGGACACCTGTAACCTTCCATCTTTTGGGGAGAAGGGACAGAGCCCCTTTCAGCTGGTGAGAATAGCTGACTCTAGAACATTCTGCTGTCTTCCAAGCAGGTGTCATGACCCTAGGCTCCCCTGCAGTGCTTGCTGATGGGCAAAAGGAAGCAAAACCTCTGCCCTGGGTTTTGACCCTCAACCTGCTGAAACCAGTAACCTTCGCTGCTCCCTCTCCCCACATTCCCCTCGGGCCTGAGTGGTTCAAAGGGGCTGGACTGTTACAGGTCCCTTAATAACCTTCCAAACTCTTGTGTGCTGAGGTGGGTCAGGGAATGGCCCTCAGCCTTGAGGCAGCTGGAGCCTCACTGCGGGGTACCACAGGATGGTACTGTCAACAATGTGTGCTCAGGCATGAAAACTGAAAAAGCACTGTGATGAAGAAGCCTCTGGAAGAGTGCCAGTCTCTTCTCCAAATGACTGAGAATCAGAGCTTTCTCCAAGCGCATGTCCTATTATGTTTACAAAAGTTTTATTGAGACTTGTACGTCATCGTAATTCAATGTTTTGAAAACAGTAACAAAAAAGGGTATCCGGACTCTGGTTTACCAGATTAGCACTGGAAACCAGGGAGCTCATTCCTCGGTGTCCCAGCAGGAACACGGGGCATGATGACAGCTTCTGCTGACTCGGGGACAGGAACCCGTGCTAACGGGCACATCTGTGGCATCTCCCTGGAAGCCAAGCCGAGTGCAAAGGGGTTTGCTTTGGTCCAAAGGATGTCTTCTTGACACAAATTTAGTAGGCTGCTGTCAAGTCCAAGTTCCTCTGGAATAAGCAAAGTAACTGCTACATCCTTCTTTGCCAAGTAGGGACAGAGATCCTGAGCAAGGTGTCATAGGCTAGGGTAGGGTGCTTCTCCAAAGTTCTCTTGCTAACACTGTCACCTCATTACGATTAGAGTAAAAAGCTGGGTAACTTTCCAGCTAACAGTGGTCAGTCCTCGGGATCATCCAACTTAATGGGGAAAGTCGGCAGCAGTTTTCGGTCTGCTCTGAGAGCGGATTATTGCTGAGCGGTTTGTTCACATGATCTGTGTTCTAGTTGGGGTGATTAGAAAATTGCCCTAAGGCTGCAGAGTCAGCCGCCTCTGGTTAAAAACAAAGACACAACTTAGTGCACATAGGTGTAAATAACAATTGTAAAACTTCATCTGGAAATCAGACAGGTTCTAATTTCTATAGAAATGACAGCTCCCTGGAGCAGAGAACAGGGATAATATTGCTTTGATTTCAGAGGACAGGCAACAGCAACACTGTGTGAGTTGGTGCCACGGCCACGCCTCACTAGAGATGAGTCAATAGCCTTAAAAATGCACATAACGATTAGAACTTTTGTGTGGCCTCGGTCCCTGCTTTCCAGATTTTTACTAGCAAGATGGCTAGTGTTTATTTTTGGCTTAAGAAGAATCTCCAGGACCAGTTCAACAGATGTATATTTCGAGCTGCACCCGTCCTCAGGTCCGGCGGTGGGGCTGCACACCTGCTGTTTCCGAACTGCATTCTTGGTCACTGCGTGTTGAGATGCCCATTACAGACCAAGGAGCTTCAGGAGCTGCTGTGCCTGGAACAAACCTTCAAGTAGGAGGAGTAGGGTAGGTATGAAATGTCTTATCAAGAGTGTGAAATGAGAAATTTACAGTCCATTCCCTCTAGTGGGAAGCATGCATGTGGAACCTGGTGGTGCAAATTGTCCCCTGGCGCCCACTGCTGGCTCCCAGGTCTTCATATGGGCTTGTATAACAAGGTGGTGACATACTTTTTCTTGTACCGGTGGGTTGCGCTGAGCACCATCACTCCATCCTGGGGAAGAGGGCGGAAATGGTCAAAGGCCGGACTAAGTCAGGGGGCTCACACTCCAGAGCTCATGAGAATCGCCAAGGGGACTTCCTAGGAACGGACACCCAGGCCCGCCTTCAGGACCGGGGCCGGTGGGCCTGCGTCCGGTCTTGGAAGCTGCCTTTCGGATAAGGACGCCAGGTAATTCTGTTGCTAGGGGCCTCGGAGCACACTTTGAGAAACACAGCTCTGACAGCGACAAACGTGTCATTACCTTGATAGAAAGCGCATACAGGTGGTTCAGCATGACGTGGTTGGGCTCAGGGAGCAATGCCGGATCGCACTGTGCGGGAACAGAAACCTATGTGAGCGTTTAGGATTTGGAGATAAAGATTCCCGCTTTATTTCACAGCACCGGATGGATAGCAAAGGAAAGGAGGTGGGTTCTCGTGCCCACTTCCCAAGATGACAGGCGAGGTAAGTGAGTCACGCCTCATGCTCCAACTAAGGGGCACTTGCTGTGTGCCTGCTGGGCTCGCTGCTGTGTGTCTCTGGGCAGGCTTTACCTTGGCCTCTGAAGTGTGGGCCGTGGCTCTGTCCTCTCACTGAAGGAGAGGAAGGAAGAGCGAGCTTCCAACAAGTGCACTTTTAGAGAAAGTAAGAAGATACAATCTATACCGAACGCCCCTGAGCAGTGGATTGCAAACCTGTGCCCGGAAGACCCAGACAGGGGGCCTGGAGAGGGAAATGGGGAGGCACTACTGCTCCACAAGGGCTCACACAGGGCAGGCGCTTACGGCTGCCACGCCTTCCAATTTTTTTAAGAGTGACCATAGATCTGGATATTTTTCAATGTACGTTCCCCAATTTTATAAATGATACTTCAAAAGAGAAAAGACAGAGGGGAAAAGCTGGCTCAGCAGCTGACGTATTCTTGGGCACTCTCGACATGGGGCGAGGGGACCTGCTCCTGGAGTGGCCACGGGAGGGGACATCTACACAGGTGTGCGTGTGGCTCATCTCAGTACATGGGCACCCTCTTCTGGGTGGGGTCTGGAGCTGCAGCTCCCTGTGCTTTTCACCTTATAAACACGTGCCTTTTAGGCAGTGGCCTGGACAAAGCTGAAGACTATCTAGACTCAGGAGTTAGGCCGTGCGTCCTGAAATGGGAGAACCAGCAAATCAGGTTAAACTAAGTAGACGGTCAGCCACCAGGGAGGGACGGGGTGCTCTTCAGGGCCCAGGAAGACCCGCACTTCTTTTTGGGAGTAATACTGGTCTCCCAGAGGAAATGTGTGTTACCCAGATACCCCAAAATCTGATCCAGGTGCAGTGATGTTTCTGAAAGCAATCTGATTCTAAAAATTGGGGGCCAGATGAGGAATTCCATTATGTAGTTTACTGAGAAGAGGTAGTGATGTATTTTGTCATGAAATTTAAAAGGAGTGGGGCCTAGGCTGAAGCTGGAGTGAAATGCGAGGAAGAAGTCAGAAAGGCTTTGTGGAACGGGGAGGCAGCACCCACACTCGAGGACATCTTGCTAGTAGCCTGTTTCCACGTGAGAGGTGGCCCCCGGCACTTAACACACTGATGGGTGACGCTGAGCTGTTTCACCAGCTGTTTTGCAAGAGGTGGACAGAGAGGGGAGCAGCTGAACATGACCATGGAGGGTGGCCCGGGCAGACACCTGCATACTCACAGAAATCCCCGTGTCCTTGTTCAGGATGACCTGGAGCAGATGCGGGGGGAGAATGGGTGGCGCTTTAATCCGCTCTTCTGGTTTTGAGACGTAGGGCTCCTGATGGTAGGGTCCTGGTGGAGAACTGGACAGTTCTGTTGGGAGATGGTGACAGGACATTTACTTTGAAAATCAGGAGTTCTAGGAGACGTCCCATTTATGGTACTGTCTAGTGTTGGCTCTTGTTCCAATACAGATTTATACTCTCTTGAAAGATATATAGGCCCTAAGGGTGAATTGCAGAGGCAGTGAGAAAACCCTTCTGGAATTTCGGTGACTGGCATAAAATTCAGCAGTGAACTCAGTTGCCCTGGTGGAAGATGGCAGTTTTTGCAAAGCCAGTGAGTCCTAATCAGACTAGCAAGCAGGCTGCTCCAATAGCCTAACCTACCACGCCAATGCAGAATGATGCTGCTTCTTGCTTCGGGCCAAGCTGTCAAAAACTGGAAAGCCTAAGGCTCCACGTGAGCTTAAGTGGCTAAGCCCAAGTTATGAGCACCACCAGCCAGAATAAAACAGAGGATCAAGCAGCCTGTTTATACACAGGTTATACGAGGCACTGGCACATTTCGAAACAAAACAAAATTGAAAACCTGATCTCTAAAGACTCTTGACTCTATCGCTCTAAGGTTCTTTTCAAACTCTCGCTTGAGTATCTTGATTATACAGATATATTGAGAAGCTTCTAGAAGTGTTGTGTTTCACAAGGTTAGAAGCAGCTCACTCAGTGATGTCTGACCAGCTGGAAGGGACTGAGCTGTTATTCAAAGGACGTCCGGGATGGGCTGGCCACCTGAGCCTTGGGCTGTCTGGAATAAATCTGACACAGGCTGGCAGTGCCAATTCCCTCAACGTCATTTTCTAGAGAACAGGCTCCCTTCACACGACCCGATAATATCATAGCAAGATACTGAGAAGAGCATGAAGTACAGAAAACTGAGCCATTAGGAGTAAAAAAATATTTTTAAAAAGTGAATGTCTAAATATGAGAAGTCTACAGAGAGCATGAAGTTGGTTGACCAGCAGCGAGGGGTCAGTTTTCTTTCCCCGGGTGATCTATGCTGCGGAAATGTAACTAAAAGCTTTGGTATGTGGCCTAAAATTAACATTTCTATTCAGGCATTTCCTCCATTCCCCAATTCCCATCTATCTAAAAAGAAAGAACTGATTTCTATAAAGATTAAGTAGCTAGCCAGTTAGAAGAGCATAATTTTCAGATTTCCAATTCCTACTCAACACCTGACCTGGCAGCCACGGAAGCCACCACAGTCCAGTTACCCCTGTGATTTCTGAGCTGACAAGAATAAGGGGTCCTGCTGGTGGAACCTCCAGGCTCAGCAAGATGACAATGAAGAATCATCCTGTAAACTGAACTGAATCCGTTTTCTTAGACTGGCAGGCAGCCCTGGAGACCTTTTTCATTGCCTCCCACAGGGGTCCAGGAATTGTTTACACCCTGCAGTGCAGTTGCTGTTGACACTTTAGATTATAACACAACCTTGCTCCTGAACTGCACATATTATGTTTCCAGATAGTTTCTTCCTGTGGGTTTGGATACAAAGCAATGTATTGAAAGGTCTGTGATTGGATGACTCTTCGAAGGCGGGAAAGTTTCCTAGGGCTGCACTGAGCAGATTGTGCTATGTGGCCTGCTTCCTGTGGTGAGCTTCTTTCACCCTTGACAAGGTGCTAATGTACCACCCAAGTGACGGCCAAGGTCACTGAGGTGTCTGTTTATCACCTGTCAGGCTGAAACTCTCCAGGTACCCTGAGAGGGTCACAAGCAGGCAGGGAGCTAGCAGACTTCCCCAGCGCTGGCTCATCACTGAGCTGAGGTAACGCTCCTGGGCCCTGCCCCTGTCACCAGACCAAACTCTGGTTCGGTTTCAATTGCCTGCTCTCTGTGACAAAGCAGACCTACCAAATCCTGAAGATGACCCCCAAACCGACTTACTGCTCCCTCGGGGCAAGATTTCAATGATCTGACCTGACACAGTTAAGAATTAGTTTTGTGGCTCTTTAGGAAGCTACAAACATCCACCTGATGGGGCAGCTTGGGCTCAACAGTGAGAAAAACAAGAATATTTCTCGACGGCACCGCCCCCACCTGCACACACGTGGTATAAAATAACCGTCCATACCAGACACATCGGAGCACTTTTGGGAATCCACCATTAATGCGTCAAATACTTCAAAGTCGGTTTTCTTCACTTGAATGATGTTGTTAACTGTGCCAAGCTGGCTGGTTACTACTGGCTGGGAAGAGACAGACGGGCAGACGTCACAACGCGAAAGGTCTCTAGGGTTGTTCTTTAGAGGGTTTAGAATTTCTGGCTGGAAGGGCTTAGCTCCTGGCTAGCCAACCCACTCCTCTCGGTCAAGTATGCCAGTAGTCTGACAATTAGCATTGCTATCTAGCTTAGCCACACATAGGGACTTTTACCAGCAAGACAGAGGGAGCTGATAACGATCAATAAGGAAGGTGACTTGTTTGGATTGTGCGGCCATCAGAAGACCGAGGGCGGGAGGAAGAGTACCTCGGAAGGGTCGTGTGTCCACTGACCATCCACGAAGAACTTATACTGATGCTCTCCTTCCGGCAGGTCCAAGATGGCAACGAAGTTATTGTGGCTGCAAGGAAAAAGGAAGCAGACGTTTGTAGCTGGGTGGGCTGTCCTTTTAGCTACTTACAAAACCCGTCACAGAGCAAAACAAAACCTTTCCAAGTAAAACCAAGGGTTCAGCCGCAGGAGAATAAACATTTTAAACCAATTCAGACAATTCAATAAAATGATCTCAATCTAGAAAACGTACGAGGAAGCAGCAATACAGGAGGTTTTCTTAAAAACTCACTTTGCTCGACTACCAGGAATCCACAATCCTACCATCAAAAAGTCAACGAACAGGCATCTGTCCTTCTCAACTTGCATGCAAACCACCCCCTGGCAGCCTGGATGCCAAGGAGATGGCAACACACGATCACCACCGCACTGCCAAGTTTTACCCTTCTCAGTTTGCCTTGGGCGGGAGAAGGGATCAATTTAAGAGGATGCATAAACAGTTCTCTAAAGAAACTCACGTAACTACTAGGAGGTTCCAGAAAACCTCTTTCATTCGACTGTTTTGTTCCCCTGACCTGAAGTGACTTTGTAACTGTGCCCAGCGTCTCCCTCCTACACCATTACCCCTAGAAAAGCTGGCGGTTCCCAGACATCAGTGAAGCCTGGCTCAGCGGGGCACAATTTCTTCTTCTGTTTTGTCAAGAGTACTCACTAGAGAAGATGCTTTTTCACTGACAATCTGAGAAAGAAGTCCATGCTAGGGCTCCTGATAAAGTCCTTTACTAGTCTTGTTAATGATGCCTCTGTAACATGGACCTTTCAAACAAGAGTAATAAAGACTGAGTCAAAATTAGGAGGAACCTCAGTGGTCATCTGGCCCAATACTCCCTTTTTACAGATGCTGAGGCTCAGGTTAGTTCAGCCAACGTGGATTCAAATCCCAGTTTCAAAGATTCTCAGCCTGGTGCTCTCTCCCTTGCACCAGGAATAGATTTCTTTCTGAAGGACAAGTCCTGCCTGAACAAACACACAGCTGAATATCTGAAGTGGAAGATGCCGGTGAAACAGAAATACTTGTAACTGAGAGATGTTTTCTCTAAGTCTGCTCTAAACCTAGAGACTACTTGGGTGTGAGATCAGAACTCTATGAATTATTAAGCCAAGGTTATTTTTCCATTCAGCAGCCATTTCATAAGAACATCACTTTCTATTCACCTGTAGAGATCACACAGAAACAAGAATATCCCTGGGTTAAGACAAATATGTGCACACTCCCCGGCCAATTACCTTCTCGTGAGGGGAAGTTTACTCCAGTTGTTGAAGGACCCAGATAAATACACTTCCTTTCCGCCCCCCGTCCATCGAAATACAGTTGGCCGAGCCTGGGCGGGAGCTTTATCGTTCACTTCCAGATCCTGCTGCCAGGCCAGGAATTCCTCCTTCTCTGGAGCCTAGAAACAGAGCTTACTCAGGGACAGGAAGTCACTAATGAACTTTTTACAGAGAGAGTTACCCTAACACTGACAGTTCGTGCCAAAGAGGCAACTGTACCAACCTAGATCATACTCAGGCTCATTCCCTGACTAGCTGTGCGCCTCAGTTTCCCCACTTGCAAAATGGAAATAAAAGTAACTATTTCTTAAATTAATTGTGAAGACCGAGTGAGAAAGTCCATGTAAAACGTTGTGCACAGTGAGTGCATAAAAATTGTTAATTACTATTGTCATTATTAAAAAGGGCTACATTAAAATTCTAGGAGAAACTCTAAAACTCACTTGGAAGAAGGCTGAAACGAATTCAAGACTGGCTTACTAAAGGTCATTTTCCTCCCTTAAGTAAGCAAGATTTGAAGTATATGAAAATTTATTAGGGACAATTCCGGAGCTGTCAACTTGAAAACTGGCATATCTAGATTCTAAGGAAGGGAAAAACTATTCAGATTGGCCATCCCCACACTGGAGAGAAAAAGGTAAATAAGACAAAGACTGACCTTTATTATGGTAAACAATAACTTCCAGTGTGGGAAACGATGTATAACTGATATGTTTCCGAATAAGAAAAAAACATGTCTGATCTGTCTGGATGAAATATATATTGTGGTTTTGGATCATTTACATTTTTCCTAGTCAGAAGCCCATGAACTTAAAAGAGTAGGAGTTCCAGGAGAGAGAGACTCTTAAAGGTGTCTGGCAGGCTTCTAACACCTTCATTTCAAATAATGACCTGAGCGTATCCTAAAAGATGACTGCATTCTTTGAGCTTAAAAAGATCTATTACAGGTTAAAGAACAACTAACTGGAATCCCTTTCCACTGAGGATGTGGTAACTAATCACAGCCAAAATGGTGGACTAGTGCAGTTAAAAGAACTCATGACTTTTTTTTGCTAAATATTTCTTACAGGAGTTTTGGAACTGCAACAAAACCAATACATTTTGAAGAAAGTAGTTTGCTTCTTATGATGTCTTAAATTGTCATCCTGGGGCCAAAATTATTTCTGGGGGAAGAGACATCAAGTCAGTGGAAAATAAGATTCCAAAATTTACTTTACATAGCTTCTCGGGAATGCAACAGATTCAGAAAGCTAGTTCAAATATAAGGCTATAAGGCCAAGTAAAATCAGTCTCTTTATAGTTAGACTCAAAGCCAAGATCCAAGTGAAGATACAAGATAATAATGTGATCACCCAGCCCAACACGAAAAGGAATGTGTGTAAAGTTGGAATGCGCTACCATACAATTAGCCTAATGTACAATGATGATTAATATAAAGGTGGAAACTAACAGGATGTTAGACTGGGCATGGGGTGGGGGTGTATGCACCTTAATTTTCTCTAAACCTACTTTGTTGCATTGTTCTTAGGAGGTTCTTTGTTTTTTAGGATATACCACATTCATATCTGCTGCCAGAATCACTAAGTGTCTTTGGACCAGGCCTTGCAGCTGGAACCAGACCACATGAGGTGGTTAACGGGAATGTGGCTGAAGGAGGAATCAAGAATCAGCTTCAGTTTTTGACAAATTAAAGCAGACTGCAGCAGGATGTCCAATTTGGTCTGCAAAAATGTTTGCTTTGGCCTGTTTAAAATATTAAGTCATATTTAAGCAACACAGGAGAGATGATGAGTTGCGGCTGCCTGCCTCCTTCAGAATGACACTTCACTGACGCACTGACCACCCGAAGTGGAATTACTTTCCTGTGCCCGCTCTAAATAAGCAGGGTGAACCAAAAATTTTAGACAATACTGAACACCTCTAATGTGTGTTCTGGTTCATCTCCAAAACCGACAATAAACTGCAAAGCCGACTATTAGAAAGAGTGCCAGTCTTCCTAAAGGTGAGGGAAGATTTCTCAAAGTTGTGAAATTAATTAGTATACCTAAGAGAAACGCAGAGACGGGCTGTTACTGCTAGCTCCACGATCTTAATTAAGAATCCGAAACTGTCCCTGAGCAGCTTTCTCCTTAATGATGTTAAACAAAGTGAGTTCCTCCTCTCTCGGGGTGACTTTCTCATATCAGTAATTAGACACTGGCTCCTGGACTGCTCAGAGGGCTCATACAGGGCCATCTGGCTTTCAAGTGCATAGGCTGAAGTATCTACTCCCTCCCTCCCACTTCTGATGAGTTTTAGAGGGGTTGTGGCCGGGAATCTAGTAGATCTCAACATTAATCAAGGGAATAAGATTCCCCACCTCCTCTCACCTTGATGTCCTCGGAGTGGAAGAGGTCGGCGTCTTCGGGGCTGTCCATCAGGATCTTGGGCCTGTCCCCATCCTTAGCGCCCCCCGAGCTGTCCCTTCGGGGCGTCTTATGGCCGCTCTGCCGCTCCAGCGCGGCGCGCTCGCTGCTAGTGTTGCCCATGGCGGGAGTCTGCGGGGATACCGGGAAGCCGGACCGGACCTCAATCCAGGGAAGAGACAGGGGAACTCCCGGAATCAGGGGGTCACAACGATCCTAAGAGTCAGAGCATGGGGTACCGCACCGCTTGGGCTAGGGTTCCGGGCCGAGATCCGGTTTGAGCTGGCTCAGCAGGACTGGCGAGTTTTCACAACCGCGCTTTACCTGTTCTAGCGGCGACCGCACGAACTCAAGAGGCGAGAAGATAACCCAACATACTCCCGACAACTCCCCCCACCTCCCAGCAACTTCCGCTTCCAGCACTTCCGCACGGCAGAGCCTACCGGGTGGGGGTGGCTGCTGCCGGCTAAGCAGAGAGATAACTCTTCCTCACTTCCGCTTCCGGTCAGGATTGGCCGTGACGCAGGCGCCCCGAGGCGGCTTCCTCGGGCCTCGGATTGCGCAGTCGCAGTTGGCAGATCCGGCTGGCCCAGGAGCGTGCTGCCGAAGGCCGGTAGGGGGCGCACCAGCGCGCGGACCGTCTGGGTCGCCCTCCCCGCGCAGGGGTGAGTGATGCGCTTGGATTATTTCAGTTATCTTTGCCCACTTCTAGTTGATTCTACACTCTGCAACCAAAGGGTTCGTTTTAAAGGGCGAATATAATTCAGGCTCGTCTTGTTAAAGCCCTGTAATGTGCTAGCTCTCATGCCTTTGAGTGCCTGTTTAAAACGCAGATCCCCAGCCCTAATCCCCAGAAATTATGATTTCCTTGGAGCTCTGGATTGGGGTGTGTATTTTAATAAGCAATCCAGGTGATTCTGGTCCAGGTAGTCTTGAAGGTGCTTGAGTAAAATGACATACCATACGATTTCTGGAAATTTCTCGCGTCTAGTTGCTTGGGGGTTGTAAAATGTTGGAGTTATTAGTGTATTTTTTAAAAAATGAGAGCACAGCCTTTTGATAGATAATTTTGCAAAATATTTTGTAATCAACTTTGGAGACATAATTTTGCATAAAATGCATTTACTTATTAATGCTTGCTGTTTACTGTGGCCAGTGCTTCAGCAAGAAATGTGTAAACATGTACTAAAATATTCAGATCTTCTCACTGTCAGTCTCTGTCATTGTGTTCTTGTGTGTAAAATTTTATTTTTGTTTTGTTTTTGCGTGTATCTCAAAATGATTCATATTTTCTGGGCCTGGTTATGCATTTTGTCCACTGAACAAACAAACATTTAGTACTTACAAAGTGCCAGACATTGTGCTAAGTAAATAGGAGACACAAATGCCTAAGAAAAATACACCTTCATATTGGTGTACAATTTTTACTTATAGGAAACTTCTACAGAAATACACATGTGAAAATTATATGCAAGCACGTTCATTTGCAGCATTATCTTTAATGCCATAATACATTAATTCTGAGACGAACGTTTTAATCTCTCTGAAACTCGGTGTGTTTTATAGTCAGTGGAATCTTAGATTTGATGAAATAAGGAAATGAAAATTGCACATCCTAAAAAAGATTGTCAGTAGAAGAATGACTTAATGAATTAAACACATTCAATGTATGGAATACTGAGCAGCCTTTAAAAAGGAGGAAAGAGAATTACAGGGGTAATAATAACAAGTGTCTGTGACATTCCAAATTCCCAAACAAGGGTAGAACAATAGAGGTTAAGAGCATGAGCTCTGAAGTCAGCCTGTGTGGGTTCATATTCTGGCTTTACCACTTAGTAACTGTCACTTTGGTTTCCTCTTTCATGAAATGAGGAATACAAATAAAACATACCTTATAGGCTCGTTTTGCAAATTAATTGAGAACATGTACAAAAAGTGCCTCACAGAGTACCTGACTTTTAGTAAACGTTCAATAAACGTTAGTACTTTTATTGGCATTGTTATGCTTGCAAATGGAAAGTTCTGGAAAGATGTACAACATGCTATTAATAATGGTCCCCTCTGAGAAGGGGAGTGGGATTGGAAAAAGGAGAAGATAGAAAGGAAACTTTCACTTTTTAGTTTATTTGAAAAATAAACTTTTGAACATTTTTCTACTTCAAGAATGTACTACTTTCATAATTTAAAAATACTTTTTAAAAGACAAAATAAGACATGGTTTCAGCCTGAAAAGGATCCATAGAGGTGGAAACAGACTTACAGAAAGGCAATAATACAGGTAGGCAAGGGATTCTACAGAAGCCTAGAAGGGACTCAAGCCAGACCAGCAGATAACCCAGTATACTTTCTTTGAGCTGTTTTTCTTGCTCACAATAGTTAGGAAGCCTTGGACATGAAGATGTTGAGTTTTGGATTCTCTCCCAAACAAATTGAGAGATAAGGAAGAACACATGAGCTATGCACCCCTAATCTGAGTATGCAGATGCTTTCATGCATGAGAAAGATTCAAGACTTCTGCTCTGGCTCGGATATGATAACTGATACCCTGTGGATGCATTCTATGGTTTTCAACGAATGAAACAGCACAATAACTGGGGCTGTGTGGGTGTGCCTGGCACAGGGGTGCCTACTGGAGGAGGCAAGTAGGTCCCACTTGCCTGGAGGAATGGTTGCCTTTTTCTAAGTTGTGCAAATAATGCCACAGGACTAGCAATGGCCCTCGCCTCACTTCAAAAACAAAAACAAAAACAAAAAAACAAAGGTGTATAGTTTATCCTTTTTCCAATTCATTTTATGCACACTGTCTTGCAGGATGACCCTCTACCCCCGACACAGGTCACTCTGCCCATCAGAACCTAACCAGTTCATGACACTTGTTGTAGTTAACATTTAATTTTGTAGATGTCTTCAGTTTTCTAACTTCATTAAATCATTTCTTTATCAATAATTATGCATGGCACAACTGCTCTCTGCGAGGCACTGTCGTAGAACCAGGGATAGAATGATGGACAAAACCAGACTCATGCTCCATGCTCCTAGTACTTATGATCTAGCAGGGAAGAGATGCGTGAACCAAACAATCATCTAACAGTCATCTGTGACAAATACTAGAAAGGAGAAATGTAACTGAGTAAGAGGGATGTGACCTAGTCAGGAGGTCAAGGGAGGCTTCCTGGAGGAAGTGAGAATTTGAGATTTGGAGACTAGGTATTAACAGTGAAATTTGTTTATCAAGCCCTATTATGTGCCTGGCATTGTGCTTGATATATCAACTTGTAATCCCCCTGAGAGTCCTATGAGGGATCTACTATTATCATCACTTACATTTTATAGATGAAGGAACCAAAGCTCAGAGAGGTGAAGTGACTTGCTCAAGGCCACACAGCTGAGAAGTCATGGAACCAGTATTCAAACTACATTAGCAGGCAGCCAGGCTAATGTAGAAATGTAGAAATTGTGGTCAGATCATTGGGTAAAGGGTGAGATTATTTAGGCCAAGCCAGTGGGTCAGGCTGATCCAGGTTATAAATACAAAGTTGGCCACTCTGAAGATCAGCCAGGTGATTTGTTTTTGTTTTGTGTTTTAACATCTATGATTTTTTTTTATAACTGTGGAGCCATGTTTCTAACTATTACCAAACTTATTAAATATGAAAGTTTGAAGCCACAAATTGCTTGGTGTAAGAATCTAAATCAAGAAGGCGGGATCAATTATTAAAACAGCAAATAAGGTTAACCCCAATGATAATGATCCTGTCAGGCAATGCCTTTATTATCCCCTAGGTGGCAATAAAGAGCAATGAGAAATATTCCCAAGCTCTTCCAAAAAATTAAATGTCTGTAGTTTTAGGTATGAATGAACATGGGAAAAACTTCAGGTAGTACAGGAGATATTGAATAAAAAACGAAAGTCTCTCTCACACCTTATCCTAGATCCCTATTTCCTTTCCCCCAAAAGAACCTGTTGAGAGTTTCTTATAATACTTTTTCGGGGCACGGTTTATTATAATTGTATAACTTTTTCCAGAAAAAATATTTGCTTATATCTCTGTCCTCTAAGAAATTGATACAATTGAGACTTTGTCCCCCTTCATATATATCTTTCCATGTCAGCACATATAGATCTCCCTCATTTTTTAAATGGCTGCAGATATAGAGTGCTTATTGTATACCTGGCACTGTCCTAAGCATTTTCCTTGTTTTAACCTATTTAATCCTCACGAAGCCCTAAGAGGTGCATTCTATTATTGTCCCCACTTTACGTATGAGAAAACTAAGGCACGGTGGATAAGTAACTTGCCCAACATCGAAAGTTAATAAGTGACGGAACCAGCATTTAGATGCAGGAAATTTGACTCCTGAGCCTACACCCTTAACTTCCATGCCAAACTACTGTAGCACAGATGTACCATATTTGACTAAATCTTTATTTTCTCAATACTCTCAAAAAATTATTTATCTTGTTAAAACCGTGCGAAAATGTACTGCTGTAAAATATACCCAGGATTTTGGTTTTATTCATGTACGGTAAGGCCGACAGATCAGGAGATTGAAAAGGCTCCCATTGAAAAGATAGTTTATTACTGTCAGTTCTCGGGAGGAGGGGGTATGCTATGTCACTCGGGGCCACAGGAGGGAACCCTGAGGTTGGCTGCAGACAGCAGTGAGGAGAAAGCAAGTACAGAAAGCTCCTAGTGTGGTTTCTGAGAAAAAGAATGGGCAGGTTTGGCATTGGATAGGCTGAATAATTTCGGTGGGCTCTGGGTTATAGGGGTGGTTCCTAGCCTGGTACCTGCCCTAGGATGATTAGGATGGAGGAATTTTGTTTCCTGGAGTATAAAAGCCAGAGAGAGGAGGCGATTCAGAGTGTAGGTTCTGGATTGGTTGGTTCGCATATTCCAGGCAAGTCATTGACTATCGCTGGAAGTTCGTTAACCTTCGCAGGGGCAGTCCCTCCCTGGTCACTGAAGCCCCAAGATGTCAAAGCGTCATAAAATGTAGAAAATAAAAAACACGATCAGCACATATACATAACATAAAATTTACCATTTTAACCATTTCTGTGTGCGTAGTTCAGCGGCATTAAATACGTGCGCATTGTTGTGCGACCATCGCCACCAGCCAGCTCCAGAGCTCTTCGCATCCTGCAAAACTGAAACTATTTTCCTGTTAAATGATAACTCCCTATTCCCCCTTCCCTGAAGCCCCTGGCAACTACTATTCTACTGCCTGTCTCTACGAATTTAACTACTCTAGGTACTTCATAGGAGTGGAATCACAGTATTTATCCTTTCCCGACAGGCTTATTTCGTTAGCATTAATGCCCTCAAGGCTCATCCATGTTGTAGCATGTGTCAGAATTTCCTTTTTAAGGCTGAATAATATTCTATTATGTGTGTACACTGTATCTTTATTCGTTCATCCATCGATGGGCACTCGGATTGCTTC